CCTGCTTCGTCTCTGTCTCCACTACTGCTTCGACCTCGTCTGTCTCTCTCACTATCTAGCGCACTTATATACAATAATACTGCCTGTTCTAGAAACTTCTAAGACTCTCAACACGTGCTACCAGCGTCAATTGACTCCCGCTGTCGCAACACACTAGCGAATCTTCTAGAATATTCGTCACGTGTCCCCCCACTGTCGTAACACTATATTCATGAAGAGAAAGACAGGAAACTTTGTAAATAAAAATTCTATGTTTATGGCACCAAAATTTTGCGGTTTTTTCAGCTGCATTGATTTTTTATAATAATGCTTGTAGAATAATAATAGATTTGTCAGAAAATGCTTTGTGGAAGTAAATCTGAATTATTTGACTATGGCTGAGCTGTGAAAAGAAAGAGATTAGATTGAATGTAAAGCAGAGTAAAAACAATCTTTATCTATTTCTAAAATAGAATAAAAATCAGTGCAGTGACGGAAGACCGCACCTTTACTAAGCCTCCAAAGGTCTCTGCGAACTCTGTTAAGGAAATAATCTGTAAATCTAAAAAATAATAACTGTATAAAACTGAAAAAGCATAGCATTATATACATGAAATAATTCTTCTGAAAGCAGTGTGTAATCTACGTTGCGCTGGTCATTTCCAACTTTACAGAAATCTTTACCACGAGAGATGCACGTCATATCATAGGTACATGTTCCAGAACATTAGGTAACAAGAGCAATCAGAAAGATTGCATACCCTCGCCCCGTCGCTCTTTTTTTAGAGATTTCATGCGTTTATATTGGATAACTTCAAATTTCACCTTCGAAAGTACAGAAAATCCTTCTCAGATTCAAAATGATCAACGATCCGGTTCATTTTTTTTTATTTTTATTTTTTGTAGTGTGATGAGGAGTCTCAATCTTAATGTGGTTATGAAATTTGATATTAATCTGATCACACTTTACAGAGTTCTTAACCCAAAACAGCAAAAATGCCCTATCTCTCCATTATATATATAAAAAAAAAGCTTCAAAGTGATCCGGATTTGGATCTGGAAAAGATTTGGGGAGGACTGTCTTAGTGACTTTCCATCTGTTGTAATATTTTCGTGTACATCGGTCAATTAGTTTTCGAGATACGCGCGCTGAGACACAGAAGACAGACACGCACATACAAGGACCTAATTGCAATACCCTCGCCACCCCCTCTCCGGGGAGAGGGTAACTATGGCAGAAGGAACTTCCTTGACTAACACTATAGTTAAAAGTACATACACTTATGTGCCTGCAAATTGTGAATAATTTTAAGTGAGCCTTAGAATTAAATAAAGAGGGTATAAATAATATAGTATGCTTTCATACTCTTTTAATAATTTTTGTTAGATTTATTTTGGGTATTCAAATTAATATTCACCATTATGGTAATTAAGAAATACTTTCATTATTTGACCTGAGTTTAAGCTGAATTTATTTATATTTTTAATTTATTTCGCAAAGACCTAGGTAAATCATCATCTTTAATTGTAAAGTGAACCTTTTAAATTCGGCACGATCAAATTACATTTGGCTAATAACATAAATTTTATGCATTTGAATTAACATTCTTCAACGATTCTTCACGGCATTGAATTTTATCTTGGTCTGTATGCCATAACTACCTGGTAAAAGACTTTTATGCTGATGGAAAGTGCATTACTTCTCTGTTAAATCGAAATCCAATTTTTAGGGTTGTAAACCCTCATACTTAACGCTGAGCCCCTGGGAAGAGAGGTGGTATGGTTACATGTGAACCATAAATATATATGTATTATTTTATTTTAAAAATAGATATTCGAGTGTTTTCTATCATAGCAGCATGAAAATATAAATTTATTATTCTGAATTACCCTGTATTTTAATAAAAATAAAAAATTAAATCAATTTGCAATTAAGTAAAAAATTACGATTTGAAAGCATAAAATGTTTTCAGAAAAACATTGTTACCTAAGATATACAAAGATTTCTTAGAAAATTTCTTGTTCTTAATAACGATTAATTGAGCATATTGCTTTAAATTTTAAGTCGATTTGACCTTAATAATGACGTCAGAGATATCAACTATTTCAGCAAGTGGAGGCAGTACATATATTACTGTGCTTATGCTCGAAAGAATTTTCCAGAAGTTGATAGTGTTGAGCTATAGTTGGAGGTGATTTGAAAAGGCTGTTCAAACGTGGTTGGCGAGTGTAAAGGTTTTGTTGGTCCGCTCCTTGTGTTGCTGTGATTTCTATTTCTAAGCAACCGAAAAGAGGAATTCACAACGGTACAGTTTAACTTTGAAAGTAATTTGAAATTGATCTGTACCATCCTATAAAAAACATCGTAACATACAATAAAAATTTAAATAATCACGAAACTATTGCAGCACTGAACTTCCGAGAAAGAAAGCGAAAATGAGTGGCCAAGTTGATCAGGTAAGTGAGCTTAATTTTGTTCAATTTCAACTTAAGTGTAACTTGCATTTATAATTTATTTTATATAATTTGTAGTTATAATGTTATATACGCCTAGTTATTATTTTTAAAGCTGTAACGATAACATAAGATCTGCAGGAATTATTTAACTGACAAAAATCCAACTTCATTGGCTTAAACTTTTATTACTTTTAACTTCAGTTAAAATTTAAGTTAACGTTGTAATTTGTATTTCCAACCCAAGCCTAACGTTAATCTAATTGCACATTTTGCAAATTACATTTACAGACTGAGTGTTAATAATTTAAAAGTAAAAGTAAGGTAAACTGTGAATAAGATTAAGTTACATAACTTATAAAAATCATTGAAATTTGAAGTTACAGAAAGACAACTGAAAGTGAAAGATTCATAATATTTTTGTGTAACAACTGTTGTCTGTAGTGTTTTTTGTTTTTTTTCATATAGGACAAGGTCACATAACATTACTACCAATACTGGTATAATATTGTTAAATAGTTAATACACCATAATAATTAATATGTTAATAATTCATGGTAGCAAAGGTCTGCTTTTTACTTTACTGCATGTGACCAGTTATTAAACTTTAAAGGGTTTCATGAACTATTTACAAGAAATCATAAAGACCTTGTAGTAGAAAAAAAGGTCAGTGACATAAGAGTAGTAGTTTTAAAACAATCCAGTTTATTGGAAAACATCTATATATTTTACATTCAGAAATTTGAAAGCATAGCAGACTAAAACTCTGAAACTTTATTTGGGTCCTATTGAGTATTAAAAATAGTCAGAAATCATCAAAAAGTGTGAATAAAGAAATAAAAAAAAAAAAGCAAATAATTGACTCATTTCGGTATATGTCCAATACTTCATACATTATGTTTTCTTGATGCTGCAGCTTTCATAGCTTGTAAATCTTGCCAAAAAGGCCTAAGCAGTTGGTGCTAATATGTAATATCAAGCCATTAAGTTAAAAAAAACAACTAGTTATCTGTCAGTAACTTTGTATTAATTGATTTCGTGATTATTCGTAAAAGGTATGTAATTATATATACCACTGTAAATGCTACTGATTAGTATGGTAGATTTTGTGCACTAGTTAGCCAGGCTGCATTTTATGTTCAACTTTGTGCATGATGATGATGGGTAAAATATAATACATGGACTAGCTAACTAAAGAATGAATATTTGTTGTAAAATTCTTATCAGTGCTATAAGTATAGCTACCAGATTTGGACACCACTTGATTTCATACCTTTAAGTTGCATGTTGAATCATTTTTTGACCTCACCTTTTTTTCACATCTAAGATGTTTTTGATTAGATATGGTGACATTTTGTTAATACACACCAAATACAAAAGTGACACTCGATAATAACTTCCTTTGCCATGGAATTTAGATTAACAGTTTCTTGTCTCATAAGCATGCACTGAGTACAGCCTTATCAAGCATATCAAGCTGAATGCTCTTTTTTTCATAAAATTTAGCAAATTTGTGCTTAAAAATTGGCAATGAATAATGTATAATAACTGTCCACCCATATGGTTCTTTTGAAAACTTGAGCAAACTTGGCTTAACCAATACTTATGTATCTGCAAGTGCTGTCACTGTATAGTTCTGCTGCTCTAAATCAGCCGTCTTTAATCCAAATGATGAAAAACTAAAAACAGTCCACTTTTACACGTAGGTGAAGCTGAAGTAAAAATGTTAGACCGTTAGCTCATATGACTTTTTATATAGCCGTGTGGAAAATATTTTATTGAATTTTAGCAGTTTTTGTTGAAATTACACCAAATAAAACTCCTAATTGTAGGTTGTAAAGATCTATCAGTGTACCAAATTTGAAAAAAATCTATTATAGTTAACTCTTTTAGCACGGTCTCAGTCCCTGGGACCGACCTTCTGCTTGTTATAGTTTTCATGCTATTACTGTT